AGCCTTCATGAACAGCGCTCCCGATTCAACTTCAAAGGTCCGGAGCGAAAAGTTAAGCAAGCTTTACAACACGACCCAACATGCTGGCGCTGGGCGAATTAGATGTTGGCTGTCCCACATTTCGGAAAAGCGTGGTGCAGGAACGTGTTCGCCGTGTGCCTCCTACTGCAACGGAGCATTAGTCCAAGGCAGCCGCTGCAACACCGCGTGAATCCTGGACACGAGGCTCCAGACGCCTCCTCCCACTTCTGCTCCGCTTCAGCCCGGGCCAGGGCCTCACGACCTGGCCGTCTGCAAACCCCTCCGGCCTTCCAGCCTTTTGCAGGGTTTAGGGTTTAGGGTTTAGGGGAGATCCGGAAAGGGGAGGGGGGAAATGGCCCTGGCCAGAGGCTTTGAGGCTCCTCTTGGCCCTGGACAGCCAGCTGCTGCCACCTCGCTCTCCGAGGCAAGAGCCTGCAGCGCTCACTGGGCTTCTGAGGACCTTTTTTATGAACCCCACAACTCGGGCTCTGGAGGCTTGAGGAGTTCCGGCAACTGACGCGGGAACCACAATTCTGACTCCTGATGCGGTTGCTGCATATGATCACTTCCGTCGCTCCTGGTAAACACTTCGCTGGATGAGACATGCCACAGGCATCTGCCGCATTGGACGTGCAGAGGCTTCATGATGTACTGCCTTGATAAGAGCTTCTTTGCATCACACCCCGTTTAATTTGGCTTCGGGCATGGGACTTTGGGGAGCGTGGGACTTGAATGTCCTTCTGAAACCAGGCCGAATTCTTCATGCCTGCGGTCCTTAAAGCCGTTTCCCTCGAGGAAGGCCTGCAATGCCACAGCATCTCCCAAAGCACGAAGACATTCCGCAGGGGCAGGCTCGGGGACCTGCTGGCCGAAGATCGATCACGACTGCCTAATAGTCACGAACTAGCATGCTCTGTGGCAGAATCTGGCGATGCACACTACTGCAATCAGCCCAACACGCTGCAGGAGAGCCTCAACCGCTGTCACCACAGACCCGGCAGCCAAGCTCAACCCCAGATCCAAACGCCTCCGCCTCAGCGTCGGCCTCCTTCGGGGCATTCTTCCGCCGAACCAACCTGTTGCTAGGATCTGCTAGAGAACTGACGTAATCAAGCGGCATCAAGTATCCAGAGGTCATTGCTTGCAGCAGTTACCTTTTTTCTGTCACCGTGCCTTAAAGGGGGGGTTTTCAATAACTGCCCGAACGCAACCCTCAACGATCTGCAGAGTTGACTCCCGGGCCCTTCATATTTAAAAGCCAACTAGGCCCTGAAGCATCCCCCAAAGACACCTTCTGTCTTGGCCTGGCTCCCGTGCTTGGTTGCAGTAATTTAAAGCAACTCTTGCACGAGTCACATCGACGGCATCATCACATACGGTATGCCCAGTATGCTGCGTGCCAGGTCTTTGTTTGCGCAAACTCTGCGCTCGGCACTGGTGTTAGATCGCACTAAATCAAATGCTATGCTGCGCGCACCCGAATCTGCACTCCAATTTTCAGAGCAGTCATAGAAACAGCAGGGGTGCGAGACTACTTGGTGTTGCAAGGATCTCACCGCCTTGCTTTCCCCCATGCATCCGGCCTCTGCCTTTGCCTTTGCAACTCCTGCAAAGATGCTCGAACTCGGTTTTCGATTGGCAGTGCTGCAGCTAGTACTGTCGTCAAGACTACTGCTTGTCAAAAAGCCCGGGTGCTGAAGCATGAAAGAATTCGCAGTCGGCACTCGCCACCGGCACACCCCTCAAGATCTTGGTGCGCGTTGTGCCGGTATACCCAACCAAGAGGGCGTACTGTTTACAAGAAACCAAAGACCGGAACGTCTCCTCGTCGAACTGCAGGGCCCGGCGAGCTGCCAAGGCCAGAGCAGTCCTTGATGTAAAAGCGGGGGAGTGCAGTTGTCGGACTTCGGGGGCCCTTTTTGTCGATTTCAGGGGCGCTTGGAGGCTGCAGAGGGGGAAAATCTCACAGGACAAATCCCTATTAGGGCTTTTTCGAAGTCACCGGAACCATCCAAACCCCCATGGGCATAATTTCTCACTCAGGCAAGTCAGGCCCAGGGAAAACCCACCTGCCCCTCTAAGCCCTCGACTGCTTCTCCGAATCATCCACGGATGTGTCGAAGACCTTGCGTAGAGATGTCGCCGACGCGGATGCAGGCGCCGAAGCAGCCTGCGTGACGCAGCCCCGTGTCCCAGCTGACTTCGAATTGCCGCTGCTCGTGCATCGGATGCGCCGATCGCATGCAACCGAAATCTGAGGTAGATGGGGGGGCGTGCATAGCTCACAGCAGACAAGCGCCGTTTCAACAAAATCGTGCACCATGCCCACCTCCCCCAACGACTCCAAGTCCGATGCCAGCTCCTGCCTGAAAACTTTCACTCTTTGGCTTCAGGCAGTTCTTGTTTGGCTTTTTGTGGCTTCGGAGTTCTGCGAGTCATTCTCCTATCGACAGTCCAGCGGCAGTGCCAGCTAGTTGCGCAGGTATAGACGTCAAGTGCTGCTCTCAATGCTCACACCCCTTGTTTAACTCCCCATTTTGGGACCATGGCCTTCCACGAAACACAGAGCTACTAGTATGAGGCCGGTGCCACAAGTTGAGAAGCTCTTGCCACGCAGCACCTGCAGGCACGAAACAGCTGGGTGGAGCCAAGCAAAAGGCGAAACAGTGCTATGCCATGTGTCATCATGTGTCGCTTCGGGGCTGGAGGCGAAAACGACATACGTATCCTTCCTCCATCCGAGACACGAGCTGGAGGTGCCAGCAGAGGAAAAGGAGTCTGGGGATTCAGCCGATGATCCGAACTATGGAGCCTAAGCGAATCAGCCCTGCAAGTTGGGGCTCGCACGGCTCTCGGCGGCATGGGTCTCTGCCGCATCGCCTGCCACAGCAGACTCAAAAGGGGCTCGGGTCGGGGTGTCAAAAGCCAGTTGCAAGGTATCAGGTATCGTTGCATTATCGGAGCTTGTCTGGATAAGCTTCCACGTCGAGACGTCGACGCTTCAATGAGGTCTTTGGTCCCGATACTTGGGCGATTCCAACCTGGCTGCTCCGTCAGGTGCTGTCTTCCCTACGAAATGCCCTTGGACCATCAACGGGTTGTAGCAGGACGAGATTCGATCGCAGTCGACACAGGAACACGGAACCCAAGCTAAGTAACGAGAATACCGCAGGCATCCAACCCATGACCATGCAAAACAAACGACAAGTTCGACAGCACATCTCTGTATAGTTTCCTTGCGTGCGCCCTTCAGATTCAAGAGAATAGACTAACAGAAAGCCATTATGCGATCGGCCACCGGTATCAACCAAGAAGACACTCACGAAGACGACACACACGCACGCACAGCCCAGAAGCTGCTAAAGACCGCATTGCATTGGGGCATAAGCTCTGCTACGAGAGAGTCCAAAAGATGGGCCACCTTGGCGCCAACTGGAAGGCATGCCGGTCACACTTCGCTGAATATAATAAGATGCCATTCACGATCATACAGACCCAAACGAACAACAGCTTTCAATCCAGGCAGCCTCCTGAACAGCACACATGCCAGAATCAGGCTACAAAGCTGCAAATGATCATCCGGCGTCTGTGAACACAACATTGTTGTTGTGTCAGGGCAGCTGCAGCATGCTGCGGCAGTTGTATATAGACTTCTTCAAAGCGGTTGGAACACCAAACATGGGAAGCATGAGAAGTCCATGTCTGTGGTGGCACCGAAGCACCTGACACCGGTGATGCTCTCTCCACATCTTGCAGCACCCCCCGCCTGGCACCTTGCTAATGCCCTCCTCGCACTCTCTCGTACCTGCAGTTGAGAAACGCACAACGCTGAATTTAACTCAGAAGGTATGGTGCGAGGGTGCCACACAAGGCTCAGTACGAAACTGCGGGTTGACGGAGTGAGAGAGGACAGACCTATAGGTTACAAGCTGCAGCATGGAACCGCTCCTGTCAACCAATCCCCTACCACACTTCAACTGACCGGGTGGACGGAGCTTTCTTTCACTCCATGTGCCCCTGTAGTCCTGCCGGAATAGTCCAAGACGACAAACTCCTCCGACCCTCCCTGCCAGAATCGCCCATCTACAGCCCCCCAAAACCTTTCCACAGCGAGAGAGCTGCCTTCAGCGAGCTCCTGTCGCAGCTTCTGAACCTCCAATCAGAGCAGGGCATTCTCGATCACAAGAAGGGTATTGAACATGGGGCATTTTGAGTTTCGACAGGCTCCAGCGACATGTCGTGCTCAACGAAGGCTCAGGCATGGCTTGGACACGCCTTCAACCCAAGCCTCACATCCTTGCACAATGGCTTGAATCTCAGCTTGTTGCCGGTGCCGATGCACATGTCAGTACACGAAAGCCGCTAAACCACTGCTGCACGACAGCTCGTCTTAATTAATTGCTGTGTGGAAGGGGACACGAGTTCAAGCAACAGCCATTCGACTGGACTCGTCCTGCACGCCCCCCCCCCCCCAAGCCTCGGTCGTTCGGAGACCATCACGGAGCTCGTCCGCACCAGCGAGGGCCGTACCTGCACAGGCCACACGAAGTACCACTGCCGAAGTTGTGGTCGATTGATTATAGAAGCCTCAAGGCTAATTTTCTAGGAAGTCTCGCGAAGAAAGGACAGCTGGAGCCACTCGGCTTGACAGATCCCAAATGCAGAAGGCCGAATATACGCATGTGGCATCCATGGCAACTCTCGACTCGCAGCCTTTTCTGGCGATCTTGGCTTGACCAAGACTCCATGTCAGGTTCTATAACAGCTCTCGCCGACTGCCTGCGTCCTAAGGGATGCAAGGCAGGCCGCAGTTAAATCTTGGCAAGCCACGCCCCCTCTGAGGGCAGAGCTTTGCGCCTCCTAAACTACGGACAAAAAGTGCTATGCAGGGCCAAAACGACCAAGTATCGGCTGCCTAGTTTCGAGGTTGACCTGACGCTCGCCGGGTTCTTGGTTGCGGGGTGATGGCCTGATTTGCCCTACAACTCAAGCGCAACTCCTTTGTGGCATTTGCCCTGGTAGTGCTTCAGGTCCTGTGGAACAGGTGCAAATTTGCTGCGTGCATTGGATTCGGATACTGCTTAAAGAGCTGTGAAGAGCTGCTTCTTCAATGCTAGCTGCCTGGTGCCGGCTGTCCCGAGTTCGGGCACATGGTGGTTGTGGTGCCCAACTTACAGTTCCAGCCATGTCAACATTCAAAGATCCCTTGAGTGGTGCCCAACAGGGTCCTTCAGCGTCATGTTGCTCAGGAGAGTGGTGACGTGGAGCGGCCGAATGTTGCATGCATCTTTCGGGTCGCAGAGTAGCTTGTCGAAGGCCCCTTTCAACGCCGCCTCGGCCAGCGGGCAGCAAAGCCCGGCTCACAAATGTTTACGAAACTGAACACCGAAAGCCGAAAAACTGGCGAGTCAGCGCCCCGAGCCACACAGCATGACGCGACGCAGCAAGATAAACAAACGCACATATACTCATGATACTTATGTATGTGTGGGCATGTGTAGAACTGCGCATGCGCGCATACATACCCACGATGACGTACATATATCTTTGCAGTATGCCAACTAAAAACTACCACACTGAGTATTTTGCAGAAAGCAATGCTTTTTGTGACGCTCACACTCGGGCAGGCCTGGCAAGGTCTGTAGCGATACTGATTCGGACCCCGCTTTAACTTGCTTTAATCTTCCCCTTACTCGGCTCTCATGGCCTTGTAGTTCATGTAGCCCGTCAGAGCGATGTCACCCAGCTCCGCATCTACGCCGGTGTCCTCCACGATCCTGGGATGGTTGCGCAGATCTTGCTTTGCGCAGTCCCGGCGCTCACGCTCTTATGATCCAGGCAAGGCAAGTTCGTAGTGGTCTTGTTGGCGTTGGTGGTATAATCTTCATATATTTTTTTGCTAGTTAGGCATAACATAGAGTTCTGTGAGTGAGCTGATCGAATGGTTGGCTCAAGCTTTCAGCTCCTCTGTGTTTGGCATCAGGGACATTGCCAAAATGGGACCTCATTCGCTCGCCCGTGTCGTTGGCTGCTGCTTGGTAGCCGCGAGCCCTGGTTGGGGCTGGTGGACGAATTGGGGTTTGTCCTCGGGGAACCAGACGGAGCTACCTCCCACAGAAGAAAGTGGCGAACTGCCCTCTCCACCCACCGGGCCGTCTAAGAGGGGATCGGCCTCAGTTTGGTGGGGCGAGTGGAGTTTCCGCTTCCTGTTCGGGTGGAACACTTTCGCGATCTTTTCTACTCCAGAAGAAGCGGGATCTCTTCGAACCCAAGGCGGCTGGTTCCTCTATATCACCGACAAGCTGGGACTGTGGTGCTTTGGGCACTATGGCACTATTGCCCCTTGGTCGGATGGACGGGACTTGGTCTCTTCGCCTTGGGGTGTCTAGTGGCTCTGGCATGGGTGTTGAGGACCTGCGAGAGGTGGTGTGCTTGCTGCACCAGATGCTGCCGGCGCAACCGCCCACATCATGGAGCTCCGGTCCTGGATGCTGCCCTTCATCGGCTTCCCATCACGCCATCACCTGCTGGCTTTCAGCAAGTGGCTTTGGTTGGTCCCAGTGGGGGGGCCCCGGTGGACACAGAGTACTTCCAACGACAAGTTCGAGGGCGCGGGATTGGCAGAAAGCCCCATGACTTGATCCTCCAGTTCCCTGCGGGAGCAGTCCGTCTTCAGCCCGACTGGAGCCAACGGACTCGGATCGATAGGCATGGGCTTTTCATCCGACCGGGGCGAGTTCTTGGCGCCACCGCCCGCCCTCTCCGCGAAGAGCTGGAAAGGTGTGAAACCCTTCACCTTTGCCGCACTGGAGATTGCAACCAGCCTGGAGCTCTCCACTGCACCGCCTATGCTGCAGTCGATGCTGAGGCTTTGGTTGACCTGGGCGCATACGGCAAGTTTGTACAGAGCAGCGCCCGGCGGTGGTTCCACTTCGGCGAGGCTCCAATCATACTACCCGGGCTTCTTTGCGGAGGCAAGGCAGCAGGAGGAGGAACCCAAGGCGTCACCGCCCGCGCCACCGAGAAAGGCCAGACCACTCACAGCCAAGAATGTGGTCCCACTGGCCATCGTGGTGCCCAATGGCGAGGCGCTTTGGTTTACCCTCCGAAAGATCGACACCAACACCGCGCGCTTGGTGGTACCGTGGTCGGTTTTTCAAGACTTGCTCATGTCCGACAGGGTGCTCAGCGGATTCGTGGGGCTCTTGCTGGGAAGCCTTCATCAAGGATGTGGCCCAGGACATCCTCTTAATCTGCCAGGAGAAAAGACTGATGTCGAGGCTGAGGGCTGCAAATGAAGGCGTTCCGCCCCTGTTGGACCTATCCGAGCAGGTTCTGGAGCCAGCGGTGAGCCAGCCTCTTCCCAGCGCCTCTACTGGTGGTCCCCGCCCCTGCTTCACCTACAAGGACTACTTGGCGAACAAAAGCTTGGCCGCCCACTTCCACCTCTTCGAGGGTCCACCCAGGCCGGGACGCCTGCCGTTATCCTGTGTCTGGAAAAATGAACCATGGTCTGGGCTTCCCCTTGCAGAGTCCTGGGGTGAGGCTGAACTTTTCCGGAACCGCATGGGACCGCCTTGGGATCTGAGTCTGCCGTTGACCCGAAGGGCCCCCCACCCGAAGTGATGGGGCCTCCCGAGCGGGCAACTCGCTGGGCAGACCTTGGCGACACCGCCCCGGAGGAGCCTGCTGAAGAGGAAGGTGCCGATGATGCAGAGAACGACCTTGGCGACGAGCTCAACGATGAGGAAAAGGCTGAGGTCCGCCGCATCGAAAAAGAGTGCACTGACCTCGAGAAGCAGCTCCGTGGGTTGTCGGCCACCCAGCAGCGGGCCTTCCTTGGGCGCCTCGCCGACAACAGTGGATCGGTGGTCGGAGGGCTCCTGGCGGACACTCTGAAGCGGACCGCTCGGTGGTCAGGCGGTCCCCACACAAGCGATCCGCGCCAGCCAGGCTACCGCGGACAAGGACCCGAAGTACCACGTGGACCGAGCTGAAGTGGGGCATGTCGTCGCCTTCCAAAGGCACCGATCGAGGCTCCGAGCCATCCAACACCAGCTCCACCGCGGATCTGTGGCGCCACAGCCGAAGATCGTCATCGAAAGGGCGCCTGGGGCGTTACCGCCGATGATGTCCTTAGGGCGGGAACACAGACTTCGCCTTCTTCGACGCCTACATGAGTTCGAACGAGCAGGTGTTGAATGGACCCAGGAGGAGATCGAGGCCTCTTTGACCATGGAGCAGTTCCTGGACTACATCGAGGAGCGTGAGCAGGAGAAGGCCGACCGTGTGGCTTCGAAAGCAGCTGGACCAGTGATTGGAGGTGGAACTGCCCCGGAGACACCTCCACCTGCCGAACCAGCTGTTGAAGTGCCACATTGCGGCACCGCCCCGGAAACACCTCTCCCGACCGAGCCAGAGGTGATCCCGGAGACGCCAGCTCCGAAGCTCGAGCCGACTCCAAAGTTTCCCTCGGAAGCCTTCGGCAGCCGGTCAAAGGCAGCCAGCGGCCCACTGCCACGCTCAACTCCAGCGGCTACTACGACCTCACCTCCGACTACCACGGCCCATGATCCCGCCCCACCCAGCGATTCTCATGAAGCACGAACAACGAGCTCTACTGAGATCTGAGGACTGCTGAGGTGGTGGCCCGAGGCGAACGCGCGCCCCCTACTTCCGAAGGAACTAGAGGCGATCCGCCCAGATTTTTGGAATTGAGCCGTAAAGCTCTTAGCCCAAACGGCGGGACTCGATAAGAGCACCCACAAGACCTTGTGCCGTTTCCTGGAAAAGTTGTGATGCGAGCCATGTGCTTTTTTCTGATCGGCTTTCGGGTTTCGTAGCACCCACCAAAGACAGACATTCTGGTTGGCCGGTTTGTTTGGTGTGTTTGTTTGGTTTGTTTGTGTTTAGCGGCTGTTAAGATATAACTACTTCTGGCACACTTCCCAGTACAGCCTGCCTTCTTCAGCTTACTTCGACACCCACACTTCGTGCGTGGCTCAAGCTGCTGGACAAAGAGGACTTCAGAGATTGCTGTGCTGACTTCAAGGGTTGAGCTCTGTTTGTGCACACTTCCGTGACTTCGGAATTTTTCATGGTAGCGGAGCTTTGTGCTCCTAGGCCTTTGTAGAACTTCGTAGATGGCTGAGCTAGAAGGAGAGTTCGCAGGCAAACTTCGTCTGCCACTTCCCCCAGTCTTTAGTGGTAACCCTGAGGACTGGGAAGAGTGGCATTGGAACTTCACAATCTACGTGTCTTTGTTTGATGCTTCCATAGAAGAACTCCTAGAGAGAGCTGCTACTTCGGATACCGAAATTCTAGACACACACTTCGACAGCGAAAGCTTCTCGCAAGAAAGGAGAGTCGAACTTTTGAGGTTCAGTCGAAAACTTCATGTCCTTCTCGCGAATCTTACTTCGGGCACCGCGAAACTTGTCGTTCGTCAGAACATTCGTGGAAACGGCTTCGAAACATGGCAGACTTCTTCAGAAATTCAGCATGCCGAATGCGCAGCGCGAGCACGCACTTCTCGCGCAAGTGATAGATTGGAAATTCAATGCACATTCGTTCGAGCAAGACTTCAACGCATGGGAAACGGTAAAGGTTCGGTACGAAACCCTGACAGGCACTTCGCTTCCCGACGGAGTGCTCATTGCCACTTTGTTGAACAAAACTTCAGGTCCTTTGCAGCAGCACTTAGGTTGAACTCGACTTCGATCAGGACCTATCCGCAAATGCGTGAGGTGATTGTTTCTTACTTCAGATCTAGGCTAATGTTGCATGGCACAGCTTCGCAAACTTCTGCAAGTTCTCAAGGTCTGGCACCGATGGATGTAGGAGCGTTAGCAGCATTGAAAGGAAAAGGAGGAAACTTCAAAGGAAAGAAAGGCAAAGGAAAAGGCTTCGGCTTTAAAGGCAAAGGAGGAAAAGGTGGCTTCGGCCACTGGAACTTCATGAAAGGAAAAGGAAAAGGAGGAAAGGCAGGAATGAAAGGAAACTTCAAAGGATCAGGAAAAGGAAAAGGAAAAGATTTCGGAGGAAAGAAAGGGACTTCAGGCAAGTCCAACATCGTGTGTTGGAGGTGCGGCCAAAGCGGCCACACTTCGAGAGAGTGCCATCAGCAGTACCGTGTTTCAGCGATAGAAGAAACTTCAGTGGATTGGAATGATTGGTCAGGTGAGTATGATTCGTGGCATGACTTCGGTGATGCTTGGGATCCTTCGACGGATGATGGTTCAGCGTGGATCGGTGCGGTTGATGACTTCACATGGTTGATGGATTCCTGGGATGATGGCTCACGGTGGACTTCTGGATGGAATGAGGACCCATGGGCTCACTTCGGCGAGCAGGCACCCCAGGCTTCTCAACCAGCAACTTCAAGCGAAACCCCAAACCAAACTTCAGACCCCTCAACAACCACGCAAACTTCAGCAGACAAGGTTTCAGCGGTGACCGTAGGAGAGCCCCCAGGCCTCTCACTTCCCGAGAAAACTTCGAGGGCAAAGGTTGCGCCTAAGCCGAAGGCCTCAACGGCCTCAGGACTTCTGCTTGCAGCAGTTACCTTAGGTAGCGTAACTTCGGGGTCTTCGTTCTGCATTGCACCGGCAACGCCGATGCAGAACCTCGGCCAGGATGGACTTCTTCAGGAGTCCACTCTTCTTGAGACCCTCTTTGCTTCGGGTTTGAGTCACCTCAACACTTCTTTCAAGGATGTGTTCTTTGATGAGCACATTGCGTCTTTGACTTCAACAAGTTCAGAGTGGATCTTGTTTGA